AATTTAGATCTGTGCCTAATTTTGCAATTTATAATTTTTCTGGTATACAGAAAAAAACTTTTTAAATATTATTTTATAAACGAGAAAGCTAAGATTTGAAATAGTTAAGTAAGTGTGGTGCAAATCGGCATCTACTCTAGCTTCCCTAGTAAAAATTCTTGAGTGCTCAATTCAATGGTGCTTGGAATTAGGGGGGCAAATAGGTTCTTACAAATCACCTAGATCAATCCCTCCCCTAGATGTCTCTATATCATATTTTAAGGCCCATATAACATGTTAATCAAGTGACTAATACTTTTCTGCTTAAAGTTCAGTATAAGAGAAGTCAGCCTCTTTCTTAATCATTTTTATAATGTCATTTCACATGTTGAGCCACATAGTTCACAACCTGATCCTAATTATCTTTTATCCCCTAATTACTTTTAGGGCTTCCCAAAATCCTACCCTTAAGAGTTATTAGCCCAGCCCTGGAATTCAATCCTCTTATACTTTTCCAAATCGTTGGCCCAATAAACAGTGTATTATTTGTAAAGAGGAGCATGAGGCACCCTTTTAAATTTATAATCCTTTTTCCTCCAATTATGTCTGGCAATATATTAGATACTTAGACATCTGAGCCCTTGACATCCCAGCTGCTATAATTAATGCAGTTTGGTTCTATATTCTGCAAATACAGGGCATGCGGTTGGATGCCCCCCTTCCATTAGGGCAACCAAAGAAGACCATAGCAGGATAACCTTTGGAGAATCTAAAAGGTCTTCAGATTTAGCCATATTAGTCTATATGACGAAGAAATTTATGCTCAAAATCATATACATATATGACCCAAATCCATCTTTTTGTAATTTTAGATGTCCCCTTTTAGTTCTGGCTCAGGAAAAGAGAATAAAAGGTACTGATCACTTTTGTTTTTCACAGTTTCTTTCATTTTCTATGACAGTACTTCAGTAATACATTCTTGCATTCAGGAAAGTAATGAGGAATCAAAGACACAGGAGATTTGGTCCTGATCCTCCAGGATCTAATATTCTAGAGAAGGAGAGAGCATTGTGAATGAATAAAGACAGTACAATGAGGTGAGGTCCCTGCCTGAGATAGCCTGAAGGCTTTGAGAGCCCTTTGGTAGGGAGTTAGAAAACCCAATAAAGTGTAAGTCACTCTCATTGTTATGTCTAAGAGAAGAGAGTCATATTCCTTTGACCTTGTCGCTTCAGGTGCTACACAGATGAAGACTATTTACAATCACAGTCATTATTATCACTGTCTTAAACATTTATTATCTCTGATACAGGGCCGGGACTATAGTGAGATGAGTGAGGTATTCACGTTGGGTGCAAAATTTAAGGGAACACCAAGAAACAGCAATTAAGACAAAAATACTTTAATGAAATATTTTAGAAAATAAAATGAATGCAAAAGAATTTATAATGAACAAAATATCAAACTTTTAAAGATAGAATCAGTCTGGTATTAGTCTCAGGTACTATGAAATTACATAGAGGCCCAAGATTTTGTCTGTTGGCTTTGGAAGGTATAGTCTAGTTGAGGTGATGTGAAAGAGTTGTGAAAATAAACAAGGTACCTGTTTTATTTTCACTGTACTGATTGCAAACATGAGATCAGATCTAACTTCCAATAAGGAGACATGGTGGGATATTGGTAGTTGATTGACAACTAATGTCTTATGGGAATCATCAAAGAAATTCAATAGCATGAGCTCTCATAACCCAGTTGAAAGAATGAACCTAGACAGTTATTCTAGACTCAAGGTACCTCTAGACATTTTTAGCAACAAAATTTGATAGAGCTTCACTCCAGTGCTCTATAATTAGTGGACACAGCTACAACTACCTTCTCCATGTTTGCATCCTTTCCTTATTCTGTTAACTGATCATTTCTTCTCCTTTATTCACATTTTTCACCTTCCATAGGAGAATCCAAATGGTCTAGGCCTTTTCTTTTTTTCTTTCTTTTTTTTCTTTTCGAGTCCCACCATACAGATCATGGTTGCAAGGTGAGGGGCCCAATCCTGATCAAATGGTCTAAACTGCTTTGGTTAGAGAGGATACTGAATTTGGGAGGGGCAAGTTGTCCAAATGGGAAGGAACAGTTACAGGCAAGGTAGTTTTCCTAAGAATAAGGTATAGATGAAGCACCTCCCTCCAACATATACCAGTATTGTGGATTAGCAATTTAAAATGACAAGGAAATAGAACAAATAGCAAGTGCTAATGGAGTTCAGAGAAAAGAGAGATCACCAAGGGCCAGGGTGTGCTAATTATATGCTATAAGAACCTGCAATTATAAATCCATAGATATGCAAATAAATGCTGATGGCTCAGCAGATGAGCAACAAAGTCATTATCTATGGCTCTTTATAAATGGACAGCAAGATAAATGATTTGTTTATAAATTCACTTAGAGATTGTACCAGTATCTTTGAATGCTTTTGCCTCCTTCTGGGGGCATCCACAGTTAGACCTCTTGGATTGGATTTCCATATTCACTACCTTCTGACCTAGGCCATTCTGGCAGTTCCAAGCAGGCCCTTTCAATTATGACTAGCTGATTCATGCTGCCAAAAGTCATTTCCCCTTGGCACTTCCTTAACCAACTGAACAGGAAGTGATAGTGGCATCTGTTCTGCCACCCAGATCTGTGATGGTTTATAAAACGGCATTTCTTGTTTGTCTGATGGGGAGAGGTCACACAGAATATAAGTGCAGGGAAAGACTAAGAATGCTGACTCCCAGTATTAGGCCTTCTGCAACTCAGGGCTGAGAAGTCTGTGAGGAGCCCACTGTGCCCATTGGAGTGACTCTCACAGGAACTGTAGGCAGGCATTGCAGTGGCTAAACTCAAACACACAAGAAACCTATCCCTTTGAGGGCAGATGAACCATGCATACATGCTTTCATGAAGTACTTAAAGCCAGTCAGTTCATGATGATGTTGGGATTCTGGTTCTTCTGGTATAACCTGTGAGAATTTATAATGGCCTAAAAAATTTAGAGTAACTTATGGCTCCCTTGAAAGAACCAGAAGGTTTTTAAAAATTTCCCTCAGCAAAGAATGGTTAAAAAAAAAAAAAAAATCATTCAAAGAAACATTTACCAAATACCTACTATGTGCCATTTCTGTGTTCAGATTGTAGCCTGTGTTGTACTTTCTGTATACTGCACTGTGCTCTAGTACATAATATATATACTGTATGATAGAATATATGACAGAATCCTAGCACTGTAATAACACCATTAGACAGAAATCTTCAAACGTGAACCCCATTTTTATGCCACTTGAAAGGAGATTTTCACTGATATTTTTAATGTTGTTGTTTGATTGCAAGAGAACTTTGTCAATATTGCAAGAAGACTTTGTCAAATTTTCAAGTGGTTTGTTATGTTTTGGTATCTTTTCATCTACCCATCTTCTGAGATATTAAGTGTTCTCATAATCAACAAAAGAAACTGAATTTGATATCTCTATTCTTTAGCCAGTGAATGTACAAAATAACAAGTAAATAAATAGGGAAGAAATAGAAGGTGAAACAAAGGTAAAATATACCTGCAATATCAGTAACTGTTTCTCTGTGTTGATAAGACTTTGAAAAGTGAAGAATTAAGCTTAGCAAGTATCGGTCCACTATGAAACCATCCTGAAGGTGACTGAAAGCAAAAAAAAATAAGAGCCTTCTTCTAAAATCCAAGGTATTAAAGCCTGTTCCAAACACCAAATCTACTAAATATGTGAATCAAATGATAATATTATATTCATAAAATGGTTCCGAAAAGATTCAAATAAAAGTTTCAAGGGTTCAACCCTGGACAAAATACAAGACCTCATTTTCATTGGCTTGAATTTATTATAATTTTCGGAAAGTAAAATATTTTCTCTTTATTCAGTTGAATACAATGTAACCAGGAATTTCTAAAAGATCTCCATTAGCCAACTTTGATTGTGAAAATTTCACTCAAAATATGGTGCTACTGAGGTAAAAGGACTAGGAGAAAATTGGAAACACATTTTCTTAGTCTGTAGAGTCAACATCAGACTGAGAAAATTGGATCAGCTCTCCCAGGCAGAAACAACATTACTGAGATGACATTATCATGAGAATGTTTTATGATCTAAAAGAAGTCACTGAATCCTTTCTTCTAAGGTTCTGTGCTGGCAGTTTAGATCAGCTGCTGTTTTATGTATAATAATATTTTCAAATTAAGATGCAGAGATTTCTCCAAATAGTCATAGGTCCAATTTATATGGAAAGAAAATAGCATTGTTTACATTTCCTATGTATACAGAAGATATTAGATGGATTCCAAACATAATTAAATACATTAACATTTGTAGTAGACCTTATTTATACTTATTTCTTTGTATTAGATGTGCAGTCTTAAATTTTATAGGAGTATATCTGTTAAGATTAGGTCTCCTTTATATAAGAAAAAAAAATGATCCTAGCTTGAACGATACAGTTTATCTTTATCCACAGAGAAGAAATTCAAAGGTAGCTAGTCCATAGTTAGTATAGTGCCACTCCATATCATCAGTGGCACAAGTGCTGTCTTTATATTCCTTTATGTGTATTTTTTGGCTTTATCCTCAAGTTTGCTTCATGGTCTTAGATGACCAGTGAAGCTCCACCCATCATGTCTGGGTTCCAGGTGAGTAAAGGGAGGAAATGTGAGAGAAAATTTCAAGAATTCCAGCTAAATGAGCTTCCTTATAACCAGCTATTCCAGTTCACCGAACACTTCAGAGCACTCAAATCACATAGGACTGAACATTTTCATGGGGCCATATTTACCCACAAAAAAGTCTGAGGAATAAAGTCTTTATTATAAGAAAAGTTACAAGTGGAAAAATTGGGTTTCTTCTAATAACAAATCAAGAAAAATGGCGTTGTTTTTACTTTTGCATGTGGTGAAATGCTACTGGTTGCACACATGTTCCTTGTATATACTAACCATGCATATCTTTCTCTTCCTCTTGTATCACCAGGCCTCCGGAACCTGTTTACAGCACTGTGAACAAACTATGTGATAAGCCTGCTTCTCCCAGGCACTATTCCCCTGTTGAGTGTGACAAAAGCTTCCTTCTCTCAGCTCCCTATTCCCACTACCACCTAGGCCTGCTCCCTGACTCTGAGATGACCAGGTACTGCATGCGCTTCCTCACTTCATCTTCTCGAACTGCATGTGCTTGCACAAGAATGAATGGGTAGAATCTGCCTCTGCTTACTTCTCTTGCACTAAACATCTTCCCCAAGTTGGAGAGATGTTCTGCTGTTCCCTTGGTGCAATGGGAGAAATTAAGAACATTGCCTTTTTGTTTTGTTTTGTTCCCTGGAGTGATCACAGAGCACTTAGACATGATCACATGATGCTCCACATATTCCTGGTTCCTATACATTTTAATAAGGTATTAATTATACTTTTCTAGAACAATTAATTTTGGAATTTAACAACATTTCATTCATACAGAAGGATGAAAGATAACATTTGTTGAATATTTTTAAGTAATATTTAATAAATGCTTACTCTGCTCCAGGCATAACGTGGCCTAAGAAATATGTACTATTATCACCATTTAATATTTTAACTAAAATATTAGATTAATATCACCATTTAACTGAGTCCTTAAGGTTTTAAGCAACTTGTCAAATACTACAGAATTACTTGGTTCCATCTTACCACACAGAACATAAAATTAATGTTTATATTATGTTATCTTGCTAGGTGTATACATATATATATATTCTTGTATTTACTGCTCCCAGCCTATTTAAAGAAATAGACGTTCAGAGTGGTTAAAGGCATTGCCCTCAGTATGATCTTGCCAATAAATGTGGAGTCCAAATTTGACCTTAGAATGTTTTGAGTCTTTCAACAACTTTGTAAAGAAATTAGTCTAAGTCTGAAAGTTGAACACAATTCTGTGTTAGTGTTCCAAAGCATATATATGAAAATAACAAAAAAGACCTCATCTTTTCATAGTAGCCTGAGTTGGAGAGAGAGGAAAGCAAGAAAAATAGAATTCAGTGTTCCACAAGGTAGTTCCAATTCAGTCTAAACAGAGATCCCAATTGTAACGTTCCTACACAAAATGGGGTGTCTATATAATGTTTTCAGACAGGAATATCTTTATAATATTGTTAGGACTGAGAAAATACAGACTTTAGAATGATTCAGAGTGAAGATGGATATATCAAGAGGGTCTGCTAAGAACATTATCTTTATTTTTTGATATTTTGAAAGAATAAGTTTAGAAGTCAATTACTGTTCTATCTAGGAGAGTTGAATCACAAGTTTTAAATTACATCTAACATTTCCAGAAATAAATGAGAAAACACATTTATAACTATGTAAATCAGCTAGGGCATTTTTATTAAGTTGCAATAATTAAAGTCTAATAATATTTCAGAATACTCTATAAATATTAAATCCACCTATATTTTTAACAAATCATTAAAACTATTTCTTAATACAATGAACTCTGCCATTTTAAAGCTAAAAGGTCAAAGTCACCATAGCCCTAAGGAAGTGAGAAGAGCCATATACCTGTAATGACTTGCTAGTAATTATGTACCTATAATCAGCTACAGAAGGGTAGCTCAGATTTATTGAGCTCTTCTGTGCCAGGCATTTTGTTAAATACTTCTTATGAATTATATATTTGAATACTCATAATAACTTTATGAGGTAGATGTTATAATTATCTTTGTTTTGCAAATGAGGAATTGAGACTTGATAAGTTACCTGACTTGCCCAAGATCATCCACTAGTAAGTGACAGAGCTGGGATTCCAACCCAGATGATGACTGACCTGGAAGACCATTAGCCATTTTTGCTCACTGGAAAAAAATTTCCACCCATTTCTCTTTTTCTATCCTTTCTCTATCATTATCCTGACTTCTCATATACCTTCCCTTCTTCTGGCTCTGTGTCAGTAAATATTTTTTTTTCTTTTTATCCTGTGTTCCTTTTTTATTAATGTAAAAGTTACATTGGTTTCCTTCCACTCCACTGGGGATTTTGAAGCATCCCTTCTGAAAAATTCACCAGTAAGTAGCCGATAAGAGTTTACCTCTATGTGAACCGACCAGATATGATTCTTTTCAGCTTGCTTTCTGTCATCTGTATCATGAATACAATAGAGTTATTTATTTTTCAAATAAAAACATTATAATACAATGTTGAATTTCTTTTTTCAAATGACACACCCTCTCTAATTCTGATATGCACCAGGCCCCAACCCCCATCCATCATTCCCCTTTTTGAGAATTCTATTTTCAATTTATTCTATTTTGGTCCCCTTCCTTCTCCTTTTTTCTTTTTCCATTATCTTATTCTTTATCTTATCTTTGTAGAAAAACAGTCATAAAAACACAAAAACACACCGACAGCTATTTTAATGGCCTTGTCACTACCAGTGCATTGATACCAAAAATCTTAATTTCACCCCACTTTGCTCCTCCTCCATACTTCCTCAGCTTAGTAAATGGCACATACATCTACCATATTGTTTAGGCCAAAAATTTGAGAGTCATCCTTACTACCTTGTTTTCCCTCACATCCACCATTCAATTCATCTTCAAGTCCTGTTGATTCTACCTCCAAAATATCTCAGATTTATTCACTTTGCTTTACTACTATTTCCACCACTTTAATCCAAGACCCCATCATCTCCCACCTATAGTAGATTCTTAATTGTTCTCACCATTTCCACTGTTGACCTCCAGGCTTATTCTCAATGCAACCAAAGTGATCTGTAAAAAATACAGATCAGATCTCCTTTTGCATTAGGATGCAATGCGAAGTCATTAACATAGCATCCGGGCTCTGCATGACCTAGCCCCTGCCTGCCTTTTGGATACCTCATTTCACTTTGCCAACCACACTATTCATGTTGGCCTTCTTTTTATTCACAAAATGCACTAAATCTCTTCTAGTCTCAAGCGTTTCACATACGCTTTTCCCTGGAATTGAAAAGCTCTTTTTACACTTTGCCTGATTAACCTCTGGTCATCTTAGATCCAAGCTTAAATTGCACGTCTTCAGAGAAGCTCTCTGAAACAGAAAATCAGGCCCCCTATTATATATTTTCTTTCTATTTTTCATAAGACTCAAGCAATTTATAATTGTACATTTATTTATGTGATTTTCAAACTAAATGCCTGTATCACCCTCTACACTGTAAGCTCAATGAGTAGAATTGTGTTTATTTTGTGCACTGCTATATTCCTAACACTTAGTACAGTATCTGGCTAGCAGGAGCTCAGGATTATTGGATGAATACATAAACATGGAAATAAAATTTTCAAACAAGCAAACTGATACCTGTTTGAGAACAAGTCATAGTTCAAGCTGTGCTTTACCTAGTTCTTAGTAGGTACATAAAACAACTCCATGAATGAATGAATTCATGCATAGAAACAAATAATAACTAGAACTCACTTTGTGTTGTGCTTTCACCATAAACTATGTCTATGGTGATTGTCTACATTATAAATCCATTAGGCACCCGTCAATTCTTCATAAAGACTCCGTAATTCATTTCAGATATTATTTATTTTTCTAAAGGGAAATACCTCTACAAGCCACTGTATCTTGAAATGTAGCCAATAATTCAGGGGCAAAGTAAAAATATTCTGGTTCTGTTTTTGACACCATTACCCGTGTGCTGTTCTCTGTGTTCTTGAATAACATATAGACCCTCAGAAGTAGATGAGAACTTAGAATTAGATAGACAAACCCTTATCTAACTCTAGTAATGTTGTGGAACCCAATCTACTGTTTCACAGGTCTATGTCTTACTACCACTCATGGTTAAATAAAAATATTCTGGGATCTTTTGCCCTAAAAATGATATTATAAAAATGTATATATTAATTTATTTAGCTAATACTTATCAAGGATCGACAACAATGTGCAAGATGCTACTATAATAGGACAACCTTTTACAAAGGTGCAAGCTGAAGAAGACAGCCAAAAATGTTGAAGAAATGCCTGATTTTTAGGATGCAGTAGTTAATGATGTATATTTTGTTCAGAGCTTTTGAAAAATTCCTGAAGTCTATTCCAGAAACATGCACATATTGATACAGCAATTACGGCTTCAGATTAGAATATGCACTAGCTCTGGGAAAGTTAGCATGTGAAACCATCCTTACATTTACATTAGTTTAATTCCTAATCCACATTTAGAAGAATAAAGGTGAGTCAGCAAAAGCAACCTGAGTCAGTTTTCTGTATTTTCTGAGCTTCAGTGGGAATACCCAAGATCTCAGTTCTTTGAATTAATAGCAGACATTCAGGGATGAATTAATTGTACACACAATTTACTTCTGTAAGACCATTTAAAAGGAAACAGAGAAGTTGTTAGTTTTTCTTAGGAAAGCACTTTAAATTACTTGGCACGGTGCCTATGGCTGCAGATTATGTTTGGAGGAATTGACTTTTTAATGCTTGCAGAAGCAAGAAATGTGCAGAGCCTGAAATCAAACTAAAATTTGAAAAATAAATGGGATTTCTGTGGGACTCCTGCTTATCTAGTACATCTCTTTTTCTTTGGAAAAAGAAAGTAATTTTTGATGTTGTAATTGGTTTTTCTACTTAGGGAGAATAAGTTATTCAGCTTTTGATATTTCTAGGGCAAGGAGAATAGTATTCTTGGCTGCTTTTTCAATATTTATGGCACATGTTTATTTGTCCTTTTACATAAACGGTCCTAATTATTGCTATTTTGCAGTTGATAACAGAGGCTGAGATAAACCAGATGAAGGCTAATTAAAATATACTGGCAGGTTTTGGATGGGAAATGAACTGTGAAGCACTATATCATCATGAAACATCTTCACTCACTGAAGGATATATATTCATTGGACTTCAGCTAGGTACCAGGCATCATCCTTAATGTTAGGGATTCAAAGGTAAAAAAAACACGGTCTCTCCCCTTAAGTATCTCACAGACATATAAATGCAGAATTACTTACTATGTGATATATATCTGCTAAAAGGCCTCAGTTTCTCAAATGCACCTAATCTCTAGGTAGCTGTTAAAATAACAAATTTAGAGAAATTAAATTTAATAGAGTTTATCTGAGCAAAGAACAATGCATGAATCAGGCAGCACTCACAACCAGAAGAGGTTTAGAG